TTGCTAGGTCCGCTAGGTTGAAAGACGACGCACTCACCAGCTGTGCCGCACTCCGCGTGAGTCCGGAGAGGCTGAGGAAATGGAGATGCCCTTCTTGAAAGGCCTCGAGGTGCTACCACATGCCGAGGCTGGAAGACATACTTCCATTTGGTGAACGGCGAGTGAGCAGCCCAGTTTTATTGTTGAAAACAACAAAGCCTGCAATGCTGCATCGTGCTGCTGTCATATCACGAGTGAATCAAGCACCTGCTTTTTTCAGCAAAGCTTTGCTTTTCGCCAAACTTCACAACACAGATTAATCCTGTGCTGTTTATGGGTTTCAACTTTCAACAATGTCTTTTGGCCAAGATTTGTTTTTGATGTTTTTTTGAGTATTTCGTCATGGTATGGTTGAACAAACACCAGGATGCTTATAACTGATCGATCCAATCAGACCGATCGGCCAAGACGGGAGACCGTCGCGCTCGGTCACCTCTCCGCAGGCCGCGGCGGCTTTGGATGGCATGGAGGAGGCCGCGAGGAAGATTGAGGCGGCCGTGTGGAGTTCAGAGATGGACACCTATCACATCGTGCGACAGAGAGAGACGAAGACGAAGGAAGGCAATGAACGTCCTGAATTTGATGGTGGTAAACTCAGTTTACCAAGAGATGAATCAGATCAAAGTAACCTTCTGACCAAGAGTAGCTGTTGCAGACCAACATCTTTGAGGACAGAGCAACTCCAGTTGCTGTGCGGCCAAGAGATTGGGGTATTTTTCCAATTGGGTGTTTGGTTTTACTTTCTGAGCTGCTCTTTGGATCAAACATGTTGGAAGCAGATGGGGAGTGATGATGGAAGCAGATGATGCATTCTAGGTTCTTCGGGTTCCGATGGCGCCAGTGGACGCTTTTGTCCACCAAAAGGGTGCCCATAATGGGCAATGGGCAAAGGGTGGGAGAGATCAATGTATCTCTGCTGCTTTTTTGTTGCTTTAGGATTGTGGTCTCCTGAAGATCGACCAAAGTCATGTTTTTCAAGTTTTTCCCGAATGCGTAGCGAAGGGTTCTCGTTTAACTCTGGGGGTCTGGGGGTAGAGCCTTGTTCGCGACCCGTTGTTTCTATGTTCGCAACCGTCCGCAACCGATCGCAACCGTCCGCAGTAGGACGCTAAGGCGCTGCCATTGGGGGAAGCTTTTGGAGGGGGTTTCGGATGAAAACGTGACGTGTCAGATTCGTGTGAAGTAGCGAGGAATCGTGTGTAAGATGTTGAAGTGTGCTGGAGGATTTCACTGCGCAGGTGCAGCGTTTTGTGAGATCCGCAGTTTGCTGCGCAGTTCCATTGGGACTAGCGTTTGGAGAGTCATGTTTTTGGGGTGTTGGATGTGGCCGTGCCATTGGGATTTGCGTTTCAGGGTGTGGCATCGAAGCTCTGTTTTCGTGACAAGTCTCAGCTGAAGTGGCAATTTTGGTGGATGGGAGTGTGCTCAGAACGGGTCAACGTGTGGTGTGGTGCAAATTTTGTTGAAGCTCACATGAGATGACATTGTCACTTTTCGTGGCAGGCGCAGTACTTTGTGCGGCTTTTGAGGTGTGGAAGTGCGATTTTCGTGGCAGCCGCAGGGAATCGTGAGGTTGCGAGGTGTGACGGAGAGGCGCAGTACTTTGTGCGCGTTAGACGTGTGGACGCGGAAAGATTCGTGGCAGGCGCAGGGAATCGTGAGGTTGTGAGTTGCGGTAGAGGTGGATGTCGCTGTCGCATTGGGATTTGGCGTGTGAGCGGGTGTGGTTTGGAGGGGCTGGAATCGCGAAACTGCTTGGCAGGGCTGCGTGATGTGTGTGCTCCGATGGGTGTTTCCGCTTGACTTTTGGAGGAAGTCTCGTACGAAACGCTCGTTTTGCAGACTTTGACATGTGAGTTTTTGACGTGTGACTTTTTGAGGAAGTCTCGCACGAAACGCTCGTTTTGGAGACTTGACGTGTGACTTTTTGAGGAAGTCTCGCACGAAACGCTCGTTTTGGAGACTTGACGTGTGACTTTTGGAGGAAGTCTCGTACGAAACGCTCGTTTTGGAGACTTGACGCGTGACTTTTGGAGGAAGTCTCGTACGACGCGCTCGTTTTGCAGCCTCGAAGCGTGTGTCCTACAAGACTGTCCCAGATAGAGTGTCCCACAAGAGTGTCCCGCATGAGTGTCCCACAAGAGTGTCCCGTAAGAGTGTCTCAGAGGAGCGTCCTACAAGAGTGTCCCAGGGAACGTGTTTGCATTCGGGTTCGTGGGTTCCATCTTGTTTCTACCTGTCATCATCTATCTGGGGGTGACCATACATATTGTGATATAGTGATCAGGGATGTATGTTCATATAAATACCCTCAGAAAGCCAAAGGTCTATTGGCAAAAGGCCTGTAGTGCTTTATGTTCTTGTTTTAACAATGCAGTATCTCACTGACATTAGCATCCTCACCGACATACACATACACATCAACTTTGCCTTCACAAACATGAACCAAAGAGAATTCAGTTCTTTACTGAAAAGAGCCGGCTCTTTTCTCTCAGCTTGCGATTGACGTCAATCTTGTGGGATTTGGGGGCACGAAACATTGAACGACACCCGGGTGGACGAAAGGCCACCCGGTGGACGACACCAGTGGACACCGGCCGGTGACCGGGGTCGTCGAGCGCCAGGCCGGATTGCAAGAAGCCAGGACCTACATCGCAGCAAAGAGCTTGGTGCGACCCACCCAGAGCGGAGGGTCGGTCGCGTGAAGCGAAGGCCGAGCTGCGAAGGCCGTGTCGGTCAATCCGAAGGCCGAGTGGTCACCCTGTCCGCTGTTTGCGGTTTTGGAAACACCCTCACCTCCGAGGCCTGCAAGGCGATGGGTGTCCCGAGGGAACAGCTGCTCACGAAGAACGCGCTGCTGCCCCCACTGCAGAGTTGGTTGGTGGAGCTCCGACAGGCAGATCCGAAAGGAGTGAAGCGCGTCCTCCGTTTGGGAGCATTTCGGGCATCGCGACTCGAACGCGAACCGAACGTAGCTCCTGACGTTACTACTAGGAACAAGGACCCTACGAACGTAGCAAGAAACTACTAGGTTGGAGGCCGGACTTCGACTCCTTTGATGTGAGATTGGGATGTTTGACGGTTGGAGGCCCTGCATTTTTGACATGCACTTCAGCGGATCATTTAGAAGGCTCAACGCTCATGAATTCCATGATCCAGTTTCTGCCACTCTCCAGACCAACGTGGTTCGACGGAAAGCTGCACAGTCACAAGCTGCAGATACTTGGCGTGGAATTGCTCTGAGAAGGAGTCCTTCATTTGTTTCCTTTAGTCCATCATGATCAGTGAACATAAAACACTAGGAGAAGAAGAGCAGGGTTCGTTCTCAGTTCCATTTGCGTTTTATTCTTCTTAGATGGTTCCTTGTGGGTTTCATAGATACTTGTGTAAGTGCAAATAGCCAACAACAACAACAACAACAACAACTGACATGTATGCCATATTACACCGCTTTAGGGGCAGTGTGTTTGATACTTCTGCCTCAAAAGACACGTAGAATATGGTATAATATCAGAAGCTGGGTTATTGTCCAGTGTTGATGGCTGAAACTGTGGGATTTCTGTGTGCCAAGTAGTTGCCGATCAGTAGGCGCATCAGTGCCTAAATATGTGTGGCCATATTGGATTGATTCCTCCCTTTGGCGACCCTGTTTGTTTCTGCAATTCTGAATCAGAACAACACATCCTGGTGGGATCCAAGGAAGCCAAGATCTCGGAATTGGAGAAGGCGGGTGGATCGGTATCGGGTCTGGGCGGGTCTGGGCGGATCCTTATGGAGATGAACCACAAGCTCAGAGTGTTTGTTGGAGGCCGCTAGTAGGTTGGAGGCCATTCAGTTGCATTCCCAGGTACACTTGGTCAGCTACCCAGCTTGCCAGTGTCCTTCTTTGCGCTTTTGGGACCCCCCATGGCCTCCACGGTTTCCCGTGTTTGGTACGGCGGACTCGTTCGCGGTGTCTTCACGGAGGCGGTGGATTCGTTGGTGAAGGCGAGATGGGCCTTGGGAGTTGGGATGTTAAATGGGAGATGGGACGAAAACGAGTGGTTGTGAAAACTTCGTTATGAGTTTGGTTTTAGCAAGTTGTGAAAGTGGATGAGGCTTTCACTCATTCACCCAATGTGGTCTTTGAGGAGGCCGAGCAGGAGAAGAGCCATGCAGAGTTGCTGAGCTCCTGTGCGCAGCAGAGACAGAAGGCACGGGGCAGGGAGCAAGGATTAGGCATCCTGACAGACGGTTTGGTGACCAGCGGCACCGATGTACGGGGTGACTTGGCTCGGTTTGAGAGACGGCTTACCTCCCAAGGAGCGATCCGATCCGTGAAGTCGATCGGGTCCGCGGATGGATCTGTGAATGCCACTCGTCCGAACGCGTCCAAGGTAAGCGTTTCCCTTGGCTCTGACCTACACTTCTTCGCCATCTCTATCAAGTCGAAGAAGCCGATACAGTTCAATCCATTTAATTTGGGTCACTTCCAAAATTGCCACGGCACGACCAACCAAATCGACCAAAGCACACGTTCTTCATATGCGCTCCAAACAGCCCCCAGACCCCTCAGGACATCTCAGGACTGAGGCTCCGACCCCTCCACGGGCGTCTGGGTGTCTCGATGGTCACATTCGGCGCTCGACGACCGGATCAGGTCTCTGCGGCAGAGGCTCTGGTCGGGCCCTCAGCTTCGCTCGCCCGCGCAGGAGCTGGCGCGACGTCGCCGGGCTGAGCCGTGCGTGCTGAGGCCCAGGAAGCACGAAAGATCAAGGCGTCCAAGGAACTTCAGGCGAATTTCATGCAAATGATGTAACCTTGGATGTGACCAAAAGGACTCAACAAAAAGGAGAAATCAACATACATCCACATCTCTGAATCAGATGTGCATATCAACATATGTGCGTCTCATGAAAAACCGACTGCCTATTCCTGTTCGTCTCATGCCACGAGACGTCTCATGTTTTCGCCGTCTCAAGGGGTCCAAGAGACCGTGTGGAGCACGGACACGATGGGCGGAGCGGTGCACGCCCGGCCGGCCACGACCCTCCCCGAGGACTGGCGAGGCTTAATCGCCGAAGCGCGCCGGACGGGGGAGAGCGATGGAGGGGACCACTTCAAGGACTTGATGCAGTTTCTGATGGCTGTGAAGCAGAACTCCTTAAGCTTTGAAAGCTTCGTGGAGCGGATGCGTCTCGAAAGCTTTCCAGAGGTCGAGGAGGGAGCGGAAGCGCTCGGTTCTCCATGCAAAGCTGAGAGCAAGCAAAGTGCTACGAGCACTCGAGTTCGCATCAAGGAGTGCTGTCGCTGCATGGTGAGCCTATGAAATGGATCCTGACAGATACGAAGAAAATCCACAAGGGGTTTTGTGGTTTGACGCAGTTTTGCAGAGGCATGCCCGGAACACCCGCTACGAGGGCCCCAGGGCGTGTCAGCATGCGCAGTGCAAGTTGCCAATTCGAGAAGAGCCATAGTAGGTTGGAGACCATCGCTCTTAGATCTCTTAGGGGGAGTAGCAGTGCTCGGGCCTGCTCTGTGTGTCCAGATACCGATCTTTCAGATCTTTCAGCTGTAGAGGTTTGGAAGACCAGCATTTTGGGCCCTTGTTACCAGCCATGCACTTGTTACAAACTGCCCCGTTTTTCAATCATTGTCACAAAAGCTTTTTTTGGCCGGGCATGATGGTGTTTGGACAAACAGGCAAACCCTGCACTTTATTAAACCCTGTGTAGATGTTGATTTCCCGGCTCAAACGTGCCCTCAAACCTTCGGCATCAGGAAAAGCCTGATTTCTTCACGCTCTTGACTCATTCAGCTGGTGGAGCCAGCCTATGGAGCAAGGGATGCAGCAAGAGACAACCTTCTGTCCGTTTGCATCGAAAAGCGCGGCAAAGAGAGCGATCGACGCATCGTGGGAGCGACGATGTCGACCTGCGACCTGCGACCGTCGACCGTCGAGGCGCGACTCCGTCGGGCTGAAGCGAAGTTGGAGTCGAAGGTTTCTCGCCAGCTGAAGGAGAGGGACGCTTCATGGGACGGCATTGCATGGGACATCCAAAATACTTGTGAAATACACTCAAAGGGAGAGCTGAGTTTGCAGGGGGTCTGTGGGATGCACCACTAACGTACTGCGGATGTATCGTCCTTGGTGTCCCACAGACGTGGGGCGTCGTGACACGCTCACTTGGGCCGAGCGCCGTCGGCGAGCGTTCAGGACTTGGAACGACAAGTGACCGCCAGCCGACTTCTGGGTGAGGCGCTTCTGCCTCTTTCTGCTGACTAGTGACTATCCCGATAGGACCGCGGAGTGGACTCTTTGGACGATGAAGTCTTTGCCGCTTCAGTAACATCTCTTGGGCTGTGGGTCAAAAGCGGGAGCCCTCATCCCTGGTAGGTTGACCTCCCTTGTCGTCTATTCTGTTCATTTTGGGGTGGTCAACCAAGGTTCCCCGGTTTTGACCCCTAGCCATATCTGACTGATCAGAACACCTTGTGCAATCATTGCGACATGGACAATCAATGAACATCAATGCATCATACCTAGCGCCCGGCCGCAGCGGGGGAGCCCCGCGGAGCCCTGCGGAGCCCTGAACCACTGCGCCAAATGCGTGCTTCTCTTCCAGGTGAAGAGCTACCTGGAAGAGATGGACTTGGTGGTCGCGGCCTTGGGAGCTTCGCTTTCTTTTAGCTTCGCTTTCTTTTCAAAAAACCGGTGCGTTCGGTTCTCGGTGCATTTGGTTCTCGGATGAGTCATCCAAACGAGTCCGATCTTTTGGTGGTTTCATTTTCAGATCAATCCGACCTGAGGTCAGTGAATGCCAGAACAAAGTCAAGCCAGCTTTGGCGCCAATAGAACAGGTCAGAAGTAGATTGTGTCTGATCAAACCTACCAGTCTCTTCTGAGTTATCTTTGCAGTGAGAGGAATCCAGATCGAGGAAACGTCAGACTGTTGCATCTCTTGTCGAGCCTCTTATCACGTCTTTTCTTCCTCCAACGATCCTGTGATCAGAGGCCACGCTTCGTTGCAGGTCCTGTGTGAAGAGGTCATGGTAGAAGCGCTTCTGGACCACATGAAGGAGAAGGCAGGTGCTCTGCGGAGCTCTGAATGAGAAGATGAATGGGTGGCTCGTGTCCAGCTCGTCCACCCAACAGGCTGCCACGCTGGTCACACCTGGACTCGTCACATTGGCCAAAACAGGTAAGGTCCTAGTCCGGTCACGCTACAAAAGCCTCAGCAAAGCACGACCACATGGAAGTTCCTCATATGCACCCATGGTTCGAACCGGACGATTTCCCCACATCCAAGAGAATAGCAGAAGCATAGCAGAAGCATAGCAGAAGCATGCTGGGCATGGAGCTCCTAGCTGAATACCAAAGACAGATTCTATAGAGTTCGGGTAGCGTCGGTATCGGTCCGTCCGGATGCAGCGACAGGACTGGAACCACGAGGTGCTCTTCAAGGACATCGCCTCTGGGAAGGACACAGTGGTTCGGACCTCAAGTGCTGCTAGGACTGGACACAGTGGAGACTGACTGGTTTGCTAGTAGTAACAAGAAGCTAGTAGTAACAAGTGCATCGCTACTAGTAACAAGTGCCTTACCACTAGTAACAATGTTTGCTATTAGAAACAATTGTTTCTAATAACAAACATTGTTGCTGTTTGTCGGTTTCGGAGAAATTGGTCGACAATTCTTTTTTCTCGTCGGAGACACTTGTGTCTCTTCCAGAGTCAGCAGTTCGTGTTTGCACGAAGTCGTAAAGAAATTGAAGACTCCAAAGGATTCCCAGGGGTTCCTTGTGAAGGGTATGCCGCTATGCCCCACACCTTGGATCTGGAACGCCCTATTATAACAATTGTATACCGTATACAATAGTCGTTCTTGTGTTTCAAACATTTTTTCCCCTAACTTAAGAAGGACAGGATCTTATGAGTCTTAACGAGCCGCTGTGGACTGGCAGCATGTAACCACATGACGTGCCCGCTGGTCACAGCGGGCGAGGCACCAGAGAAGTTGATCGACTATGTTGCTTCTCTGAAACCCGGTGCCATGGCCCAGGACAAGTGACGGTCATTGATATAGATCAATCAAGATCAAACACGTAGATATTATGACAAAACCCGTAGATCCATTAAGATTTCTATAAATTCTATAAATCCTCTATATGTTTGTCACATCGACTCACCCAGACTGTTTGGCTCAAGCGAACCAGTCGAGCTTTTCAGGTCGCTCGCCTTGAAGTGACGGAATCGCTCAAGCGACGACTCATACGACACAGCGGTGGCCGACACGGGTCGGGCCGCTGGTCGTGGCTGAACACCTTGCCCATAGATTGACATGTCGCACGTGCTGCTATAAGATATATATATATATATTTGTGCACCATCGTGCACCCTTTAGCAAGTCATGGTGAGAAGAAACCATGAAATGGTATGAAATGCCTATGAAGCACCTCATCATATCGTAGTTGCCTAGTTGCCATTCAGTTCAGATCTGATTTGTCAGAGGAGCAGAAGACTGCCTGGCTGGAAGACCGTGAGGTGCAGCAAAAAGGTTGATGAAGATGTTGCGGAGTTTTTCGTTTATTTTTTTCCAGAGTACTGGTCGTGGGTCTTGCCGTGGGTCCTTGAGAGACGCTCTCTTTTTATTTTGCTCTTCCGGAGACGAGGGTCAAAGAGGAGACGCATTGTGCTTTGACCGAGATCGCCGGTGGATCGCCCATCGTCTTCCGCTTGACTCGTCATGCCGGCTGCGGGTTCTGCCAAACGAACGAAGAAGATAGTAGCTTCTTGCTCCTAGTAGCGATGCCAGCAGCCCCTAGTAGCTTCTTGCTCCTAGCTAGAAGAACAGCAATGGCCACTGGCCACAACACCACCCTGGAGGTCGCGGCATATGGGAAATGTAATCGAAGTGTCAAGGGGTGTTCAATGACGGTCGCCCCTCCTGACACGACAGTCGTCTCCACACGAGGATTGGTCACGAGGCCGGCTGCTGGTTGCGCTAGCCTGTAACCGTCTTTCGGATGGCTTTCTTTTAGGTTCCAACCTATTTCAACCGTTCAATTTATTTTCTCCGACTTCGTCCCCTGCAAAACAACAGAAAAATAACGACATAGATCTTTGTAGCGCCAGGGCCTGGTGTCCCTGGTGTCCTTCAAAGCCCTGGTGCGTCGCTGTGCGAAGTGCGCCGTGGCCGGACGCCTCGAGAACCAGCAAGGGGAACTCCTGGCAGAGGCGCCCGACGCGACGAACGGCCACGCGCTGCACGGCGGTGTCGCCGCTGGCGCAAAAAAGGCCACTGGCCAGTGTGGATTCCATGGAGCCAGTCAGGTAGAAATAGCAATGGCCTCCAACCTACGAGCGATGCCCTCCGAACCGACCTAGTAATTAGTAGCGATGGCATCCAAGCTAATAGAGTTGATGTTCAATACATGCCAGACCTGAGTTCAGGGTTTGGGATGCTTTGGCATTTGATCTGGGGTCTTGGGCCATGCGCCCTGACCCGTTGACACTTCAGCTTTAGACGTCGGAAGGAATCGCCTGAATCCAAACCTCGCCAGTTGAAGCCGGGCGACCTGCTCTTGATCCTGGAGACCAAGAAGGACGGGAAAGAGATCTTGGAGGCCGAAGGACTCGCCGAGTCAGGACGCTGCAAAAGGGCCCAAAAGGGCCCGAAGCAACTCTGATAGAAAACTATTTATATAATATATATATATATACACACACATCATTCTTTTTGCATTCATCAGCTGATCTGATCGATGTAGAGGTTCTGGATCAGGCAAGCTGGTCTGAAACGTATTGTTTGGAGCATGTATTTTGGCAGTTTGTCGGTGTTGATCCATCACCCATCCAATGATCACAACAAATCATGGATTCTAACTTAATTTTGTTGAACAAGCCTCCCAAGAACAAACCCTGTCCTTTGTTGGAGACCGAAGAAGAGCTAAACGATGCCCCGGTGAAGGTGGAGCTTCCCTCTAGCATCGTGGGATTGGCGGTCTCCAAGACCAAGGCACTTGCGGAGCTCGTCTGTTGCAGATCGCGGGCGGCCCTTGGAATAGTGGATCGTAGTGGCTATGCAGAGGAAGGTATCT